TTATATTCGTGGAGGAATAAATTAAAAAAATTATGAGTTTTCCATGTATATCTGAAAATACGACTATGTAGACTCCAACATGTCTGTCTTACTGGCTAATTTTTAGACTAAGTTTCTGTATATATAATATTGGGATTCGGTTTGTCTTTCGGTTGAACAAACTTTTCGAAACTTCAAAGTTTTTGAAAAACTTTGAAATTAACACGTATAAAGTAATTATTTGAAAATTTTGACATCAGTTCAATCTGAAGTAATTTTAAAATATTTTGGTAATATCTAAGTCAATTTTAAGTATTCTTATAAAACAATGCACATTGTACACGCTTATATTTCCCATATTTCATATAGGTGGCCTGGAGTTCACTACGAACTCTTTTTGATACATCTTATTTCTGTTTTTTTTTTTTACCTTTTAGTGAGTAAAGGTTCGTAGTTATCTAAATTACAATGCTTTAATCCAACCTTTAAGTAATTGGTCTAACAGTTACCATCTAATTAATACTTATGAATGAACTTTAAAATCAAAACATGATAAAATAGTTTTCCAGCTTAAGGCTGAATTTCAGTATCAGAATAGATTTAGAAGTGTTTCTAAATTGACCAATCATACCACAATATTAATATATACTATATTTATATATTAAAATTCTTACCACACTAAAATTAAACATAACTTACGAAATTTCCCCTCCCTCCATTACGAAAACAGCTCTTAACACGTTCCAAGAAATATTCATCAAACTATAAAATTCAATATATCGCAAACAATTTATATTTTGGAAACGTATCTAAAATACTATTATATTTTAGAGCATTTAAAATTTTATTGAAGTTCATACACATTTTCCCTCTCATAATGCCATTACCAAACATTAGTTCCTTTGATCACTCGGGCAACATATTCTGTATTTGTAGACTGACTATTCGATATACAAACATACAACTCATCTAAACCTAATCTTTAATCACCTGTACTGTTTGAAGATCTTCGAGTTAGACGTGGAGCGAAGTGGGTCTGTGGTATTCTCTTGTCCAGCCATCGCTAGGTCAGTCTGTGGCGTCGGAAGGGCAAGTTTACAATTTTTCTTTCTAGTCGGGGTGTAAGTTGTAATGGACTAATTACACATTGCTTCACACACTTCGTAGTTAAATAAAATAGATGTAAATGTAATGCTGAGACACTTAAGTTAGAAATGTCTGTTCACGTATTACAATTTAACACCCGAAAACAATACTTATTCTTACAGACTTCGTTGCAAATCCGTGACAATGATAACTGTACATCGTAATAAGGTTTTATGGAATATATCGATACTTTTTGTTGCACTTGATGCTATTAAATGTCAATAGTTTCCAACGCGATAATAGATCTTAATTTAACGTTTGCTCTTCTTCACCTAAGAATAGTTTGATTAAGGAATATTCATGGCCCCCACGTTTGGCGATCACTCACTGCCTGTAATTCTAGCAATTTTAGCTGTGAAAATGACTACACTTTGATTTATTATATTTACGTTCAGCAACATTCAACTCGCGAAAGACCAGAAAAAAAAACTTACGTTCGCTGACTCAACAGCGAAGCCCGTTAAATTACTGTGACTTGGAATACACGTGTTAATCACGTTAGCAGTCGTTCAAATTCAAGATGAAGACCTGCACGTTCTTAGTTCAAATTTAACGCTGGGAGTTCGATATACAGTTGTTTGATCCTAAACAAGTCACATAAACTAATTTGGCATTGATAGTTCTTCATGTTCAGCCGTCCTTAAAGGTTTCGTTACGAAAATCTTATAGATTTGAAGTACACTACTTAAACTTCTAAACGTTCACAAGTCCAAACCACCTTACAGTTTTAAACCGGTACGACAACATAAGCTCACGACGACAAATTTAACACTGTGGAAATAGAGATGGCTAGAAGTTGATTCCGCAGTTCCCAAGTTTCATTAGATACCTACAAATCGTGAGAAACAGCTAAGCAACTTCGTTTCACTGGTGATGGTGTCACCAACAATATAAGCGCTCCTGATTGCGCCGCGTGCCAAGAACAGCTGACGTAGCTTGACTGACAGATCAATGAAGGCAGTAAGGACCAACAACTTAGGGGAGGCAGGTGTATGAACTGGAAGAGAAACTAAAAGTTTTGTGCACAATGTTAATGAGGAAAAAACGATACTATTTATTCAAATGAGCAACATGAACCAATTATTGTTTTATGTAAAAGGAAGAGAAATAATGGCATTACTAAATAAAGTGAACAATTTTTCTTGTACGTTTCAAATATCAAACAAAGTACAAAAACAAAACTACCTTATGAGGTATACTTTGATGTAGCATTGATAATTTTAAACAGCGTAAGGTGTATCATAATGGTAATTATTTACAAAATAATGTTGACCAGCAACATGTCAGGTAGTGATGACATAAGCTTGTCGAAACGTTGTACATTTGTAATAAAGTTTCTTTCACTACCCATTCAAGCCGTCTCGAAACTTTATTATCATCACGTAAGCTTGTCAAAACGTTGTACATTTATAATAAAGTTTCTTTCACTACCCATTCAAGCCGTCTCGAAACTTTATTATCATCACGTAAGCTTGTCGAAACGTTGTACATTTATACTAGAGTTTCTTTCACTACCCATTCAAGCCGTCTCCAAACTTTAATTTCAAAACGTGGGTTCCTCATCATCAAACATGATAAACTATTTTTTATGACATATTCCAAAAAGTATTTTTTTTTCTCGTTGAGCTAACTGTTTTTGAGAAATACGTATTGTAACTTCAACTGATAAGAGTCGAAAATAAATATTCAAATACGAATTCTCGACTATTCAAAACGTAAGAGAATCGTGTGTCATTGAGGATTTAAGTAACTATATCAACGTTCAATGTTCAGAGAACGACACATGCAGCTTAGCCCGTGGAACAAATTTGAATTTGGGGGGAGTGACGACTGGGGGCACGCTATTTGTTATTTTAACCGTGACTATTGAATTCGAAGCTAGTAGAGGAGCTTTCCCTAATAAATTCACATAAGTCTTTATTCACTATTCAAAGGACCAGTCCATTAATGAATCAAATTTTGGGAACTTAGAAAACCAGATATAAACCCTGGCAGAGAAAGTGAATGTGTAATTAGGAGCAGAACAGGAACTTAGAAAAACAGATAAATACTCTGAGAGAGAAAGTGAATGTGTAATTGGGAGCAGAACAGGAACTTGGAAAACCAGATATAAACCCTGACAGAGAAAGTGAATGTGTAATTAGGAGCAGAACAGGAACTTAGAAAACCCGATATAAACCCTGACAGAGAAAGTGAATGTGTAATTAGGAGCAGAACAGGAACTTAGAAAAACAGATGTAAACCCTGACAGAGAAAGTGAATGTGTAATTAGGAGCAGAACAGGAACTTAGAAAAACAGATGTAAACCCTGACAGAGAAAGTGAATGTGTAATTAGGAGCAGAACAGGAACTTAGAAAAAC